TCCTCTCACAGCTCCAGGGTTTCGTGTCTGACCAGCGACTTCTTCACCAAAATTCCCCCGTGGGTCGCTCCAAGAAATATCAGGCTCAGAGGTAAAAGGCCATCATGAGAAGAAACTTTGCTTAAACATTGTTTAATAGTTTGTTCACAAAAAAAAAAAAAGAACATTTAGGAGGCGCTGGTTGTCTGGTTAGCGCCCCCCCATGAACGCAGGCTAAAGTCCTGTAAAGCGTGCAGCCCAGGTTCAAATCCAACGTGTGACTCCTTTTGTGCATGTCCCCACTCTCTCTCTCTCTCTCCCTGACTTCTGAATCTATCCATCGTCCCACATCTCTAATAAACAACCTAAAATAAAATCTAAAAAAAAAAAACACCTGAACATTTGGTTCTGGTACCTTTAGCAACTTAAAACCAGTTAACCATTTTGCAGTTTGTGTACTGTATAAAATATATTGTAAATATAATATAGCTTGGGTGTAAATGTTGAAAGTCATAAAGCTGAAAGCGTGTAGGTTTGACATTTTTTTAACTTTGTTTCTCAGAGGAGTGTGGAGAATGCTGCACCTGGACCCCGTAACTACATCATCGTGGCCTCCACCTATAGACCAAACAAGTCCGGAGATTTCTTTATGCGCATTTTCTCCAAGACTGGAAACACTCTGGGGTAAGACTGAAGTGATTTATCTGTAAAATTAATAAACGATTAAGACTGTAAAACAGCATGGAAATTAAGACTACTTAGCTGAATATAATTTGTTGGCCTTTTTTTTTTTTGTATGAACCACATTGTGTTATGTGTTGTATGTGTGCGTCATACATTCTGGTTAAATAATGTCCCACAACACTTCCTGAGGGCTCCACAGCTCCTGAATCACCTCCCGTCTCTCTCACTTTAAACAGCGGAGTCATGTCACCCACACTGCCCTCAGATTGGGTTCACAGCGTCATACTTTTGCATATTTCAAAAAACTCTAAAATCTTTCAACAAGAATAGACTCATAAAACCAACTTTAATAAGGGAAACGGTCATTGTTACAGCAGAGACCAGTGGAGTGCTCCAGAATATAAAAATGAATGCAGACAGAAAAAGCCCCCATGGTGTGTAGTTCTGAGGAACTCCCTAGTGGATAGTTCCTCTTCCAAAAGTCCCCAGAACAGTTTGGTCTGAAATCACCTATTGTTAATAAAGGTAATTATTAATTAGGCGCATATTGCTGTTAATCACACACTGTATCCCAAAAGTAGAAGTTTGACTTTCTATTGCTACTCTAGCAAAGAAAAGGATCCTTGCCAGTATACTTCTTTATGTGGAAGCTTGAGAGGATTAACACTTTTAATTTAAAGGACTAATGTTGACTTGTGTGATGTTTTCTTTGTGCTGCAGTACTCAGGACTTCACTTGCTCCTCTGGCTTCCTCCCTGTAAGTCCACATACATTTGAACACAAGGCACAGCTAGCCAAAAAAACACACAACAGTACGTTTATGTTCGTCTGGTATGTTTGTGCTGAACAGGTTATGGCCACTCCTGTCCTCCCGGAGGATCACGTGAGAGTTCAGCAGACTTTTGAAGAGGAAGCTGGCCCAGTAAGAACTTCCACATGTAGTACTACAAAGCTTCAGTGTATTCAAGTTCAAAGTTGTGTCCTCTGTTTGAAATATCTAAACCACTTTCTTCTGTCTTGCCTTGCAGGATGACAAAGTGAACGCCAAGGAGCTCATGAATCTGTTTAACTCAGGTTACAGTGTAACACTTTAAATTCTTTGAGCTGGATCTAAAAATGACAAAAAGCTGTTTTTTTTTTTCCACTGTGCAATACCTCACATGGCCACTAGATGGGAGCAAAGCAGCTTCACTCTAAAGCAGGAACAGTGATGCCTCACAGGTCAGCAGTCTAGACAGAGGCTCATAGCTGCAGTCAGATAGAGTACAGTCAGCTGGTTGACTAAGAAAAGTGACTACACTTGTCCTCACCTTCACCTTTTCTCAGCTTAATCCAATTTAAAACCTTCATTTATTTCTCTGTATAATCTGTGCTTTTCTATCTTTCTATTGTGATCACAGTTTTGGAGAAAGATTACCATCTGCCTCTGGAGACATGCAGACAGCTGATCTTTGGAGAGGATGTATCCTTATTTTGTGCCCAACATATTCTGTAACACTACAATTTGATTGTTTGACTCTATGCGTTTGTCTGGATTAACAGGAGCAAATCGATGTTCACATGAGTTCACATCTGATCCGTGATTGTCCCTTGCTATAGTTTTGAGCTTCATTTTGGGTTTGTTTCTCGCTGCTCAAGCGATTCCAAACCCTCAGTCCTCTGGGTTGAGTCATAACGTGCTGCCCTGCTGTTCACTTTCCTGCCTCAAAACTTTATCGCCTTGTCTTCTGTCCCGTGAGGTGACCTTAACTTCTTCCGGCAGACAAAAGGGCGCCCTAGTCTCAACCGTAAACAAACAGAAACCCTGCTGTCCAATCTGCGCACTCTGCAGGTAAGGTCTGTGTGTGTGTGTGTGTGTGTGTGTGTGTGTGTGTGTGTGTGTGTGTGTGTGTGTGTGTGTGTGTGTGTGTGTGTGTGTGTGTGTGTGTGTGTGATTTTTATTCACTCTGCTGCTTCTATCTTCTTCAGTCCATCTTCTTCCAGTATGACGAGGACTCCTCCGGCACTATGAGCCCCTTTGAACTAAGCACAGCGTTGGAAGCTATTGGTATGAGTGCACACACACACACACCTGAGTCTACTGTATATTGGCACACAGATGGTGTGGCTTCACACCTTCCTCCTCTCCTCTGTGTCACAGGGATGAAGTGTGATGGTCAAGTGGCTCATCTGCTGTCTGCACGCTTCGCATCTGGAGAGCTTCACATGCCCTTCCATGGCTTTGTGTCCTGTGTCACAAGACTGCGCAAGCTTTTTGGTAACACACACACACACAATATTGTATCATTATTAAATCAGTACTAGACATAGAAAAGCTTAGAGACAATCTTTTACCAGTTGGCCCAGATATCGTAAAAATGACATATGTGCACTGGATGCTGCATGTATGTCATCTGGAGAGCATTAGACAGTTGTGAGTTCAAGTTGTTTTTCAACTGTGATGCTTACTTATACAGTCATTATAGCTACTATAAACATGAGCTATGTTTGGAAAACTGCTGTGGTTGAATATGTGAGGAATCATGTGACAGATGCAACTTAGATCTTCAAATCGTCAATGAAATTTCTTCTACTTTTGGACAAGTTTCAACATCTTCTCTACAGTGTTCCTAGACGTCTTTTCAACAGAAAAGTGCTCACTGGGACATTTTAGAGTTAATATAGTACTTATTGCTCCATTACAGTCATGTGACAAATGTAATTACTGTTTTCGTTTCAAATACATATTTTTAATTCTACTAGAAACATGACAACCTGACAAGAATTAAATCATTGGATGCTTAACTTTTTTCAGATTTTTGCAACACAATCCCCCCTGAGTTTTATTTGTATTTGAACTCATCAATAACCTCTCATTACCTCTCCTCCTCAGCTCTGTTTGAGTCAGAGAGCAGTCAAGAGGTCAAAGACAGAGGCATTAACTCTGTGAGTATCAGGTCATATTTAATCATAATATATGATCTATATTTGTATATCTTATATGCTCCTACTGACCTGGATCTGTTTTTTTCTGCTTGCCTCTTCCCTTCACAGTGGCTGCTTCAGTTCCTGATATTGTGAAGATGCTTTATGAAGAGGGTCATCATTTAAAAAAAAAAAAAAAAACCCAGCTAATCCACAGTCTGCTGTTCCTTCTGAAACATAAACAATACATATAAACATATACATCTTTTACATCCGTTCACCCATATGTGCCTTATTCTAAAGGAACAGCTGTGGATTTCCTCTGCTATCTATCCCTTAGTCCTGATTGTAGGCTCCATATAAATAAAAGGTTCAAGGTCTAACATACAACACAGGAACACACAGTTATATGAAACAAGCACCTTCTCCATCCAGGCTTCCCATACAGTTTGGTTTCGTTAGTTTTTTGGAAGGGACAGTGTATATTAATAAATAAACATGCAAACATGACAGAATCAGCCAAAAGGATTTTGTTCTGTAGTCCACGGCCAAGGTTTTCACAGGGAACACAAAAGCAGGGCACACGGTTTAAAGAGACAGAACACACAGTTAAGGGAGAAACTATGAGGTTTTATAACTATTTTTTTTAAAGCGCTATAAAAGAAATATGGGCCATTAATCAGAGCAGTGTATATTAAATTAACACTTAACAAAAAGATGAATGAAAACAATTATTAAATATTCATGTTTGAGGATGCAGAACAGCCCCTTTAATTGTTTTCGTAATTGTGATTACAGATGATTGTTGAAACTTGGTTCTCATTGTCTTTTCAAATCTTTTCCAACATGAAAACTGTTTGTAAACCCAAATAAAATTCACCTTTTAATCATTTCTTTCTTGAGTTTCTCTTCTCTTCGTCGTGCAGTGCTGAAAAGTGAAATCATGAATGAAATGGTCCACATAACTGTTGTTACACAACTGAGAAAAAAAATATATATCTCTGCATCCCCAACACTTTAGTCATCTATGCACACATGAACATACCCTGGGTAACATCTACACACACACTCACAGTCAGAACGAGTGCTGCCTGCCCCACTGAGGGTGTGAGGGTGATGTCTCAGCAGCGCTACACGCACCATCTCTATTCTTATCACACTGACGCCACGTACAGCGTCAACACACACTCGCCCCCTCCTCCACTACATTTTCTCTCTCTCTCTCTCCCTCCCTCCATCCTTATTCTTTCTACCCCCCCTTCTCTCTAGTAACTGTCTTATAAATTTGCATCCTCCACCTCCTCCTCCTCCTCCTGTTACATGCTGACACACACACACACACACAGGTATCCTTGCACGCACTCACACATCAGTGAGGGAGCAAATGTCCTTTCTACACACGTTGCTATTAATAGTACCGTTGTTCACACACACCATTTCCTGTTCATAGTTAGATGAGTACACACAGGTTGTCCTCGGCAACAGTCCATCTGCGTTGTGATGGAGAGAGGGAAAGCGAGAGAGGCGAGGGCAAGGACATTCATTCATCTCAATGTCTGGCCTCTCTATCCACTCTTTTTTTTTTTTTACTATTTTTGTATGTTTTCATAAATATTTCAGTCTGTCCAAACTCTGTGCTTCAACTTATTTGTGAGTCAGCTCAGCCGGAGGTCAAACAATGTGACATCTGTAGCTTGTAAAAATGATCTACAGGCATTCACTGTGGTCACTACTATGTTAACACTTTTTTTTTGCCTTCAAAGAACGACCATGCTTGCATCTCTGTACGTTTGTAATTTGTGCTTTGGTTTTAAACAACGCTGACATGTGCACAATGAAACTTTAACACGTTCCCCATTCAAGTGTGCATGTCAGCATGCTAACCTTTGCTAAGATTAAACTGAAAACAAAGTACAAATGAGACTGGGTTTCATTGTCAATATTTTAGGGAAATAAAGAACTGATAATAATATTTCATTTGAACTTCCAAATTCTGGACATTATCTTGTGTAAAAGCTCACAAATCGAAAACAAAGTAGTCAAAAAGTTAAACTTAGTTTGCTTCATTATTTACAAAAGGTTTCAATGGCATTTTTCTTTATCAACACAACATTCTTGATGTCATACTGTAAAATGATTTTTTAAGAGTAAATCTTCAAATGAATTACGAATATATAAATGATAACCAAAATGCTCCTTTTCACCAGTTTTAACCTGCAGGGCACACCTTTATCAGTGCCACCTGAATGTAGAGAATATGGGAGGTGAGTGTGATCTCCAGATAAGTCAATAAGGTGAAAGGATTACAGGAGGAAATGTTAGGGCCAGTGAGCTTCAATCTTTTGGAATTATTGTTATACGTTCAACTGTTCTTCAGATATTTAGGTCTGAACAAAACAGACAGACAGCTAAAGCATTTGATCTAAGCCTGAATCTCAACAACTACATTCATAATATTAACCCTTTGACAAAGCTTAAAATCAATTTTGATATAAACTTAAGGAATAACAACGATATTGCCATAATAAGTCAAATTTCAAAGCTGATTATTGATAGGTTTTCTCTCTCTGAGAAGCTTTTTTTATTTATTGTATCTAAAACTGTTTAATGTATTGTAATGTATTTGTCATGTATTGTTTTAACGCTGACTGACAAAAGAAACCCTTTAAAATAATCTTCATCTTCATGAATTATATGTATCCAGGTTTGATCAAATGTTTGCTTTGTACAGTATTCACCTACATTAACAGGGAACGATCGTCTCTCCCCTGCAGCTGGATGGATTAATGATTTATACATAACTTATAGTGTGGGAGCACAAGAAAAAAAAGATCTGGTTGGTCATGTTTGGACATGTAAAGGCAGCTCTCGATTAAAGCTCCTCTGTGAGTTTAGTGTTGAAAAACTGTGTGGATCAAAAATAGGAAGAAAAAAGCAGCAACAATGCTTGTATTCACATACAGGCCGTTCCTGTTTGATAAAGCAAAATCAAATTAGTGATCTGTTATTCAATTTGTTTATCCATATCCTGATTTTGTGCACAGTTAAATATTCTTTCTGGTGTAAATGTACTATTTCATAGACTCTCCCCTCATTGCTGTGCACCAAACACTGTAAATAAAAGCATGCCTTGTATTAACACCTGTCCCAAATGAAGACAGGGTCATTTCATCGACTGAAGTAAATAAAAGCCTGGGCTGTTAATAAAGGTTTTACAGTAATATCAGCATGTATAAGTACATTTAAGTGTTTAATACTGTCCTATATATTCACATAACTTTTGTTGTGAGGAAGTTATTATTATCGTTACTAGTCATCGTTACTTCAACTATGCCATATTAACAGATTTAAATACATGTTTTAAATATCAAAACAACTGGCACAAAAACATCAGAGTTTAATTTATGTTTTTTGATATAATGTAGTTTTACCAGACTGAGGGTGTCTCATTCAAAGGGTGTTATCACTGTTATCTCCTCATAAATATAGAACTATAACAACACTCTTTCAACAGAGGAGCTCCCTCTCATCAGAGGAGAGAGAAACAGTTTGAGGCTGATCTCCAGGATCTCACTGTAAACTGTCCCCTCCCTCACAGAGAGACTATTTATTTGATATTTTCCTCTCTCTGTTGATTCGTTTCTCTCCACAGCGACTAGACTCATCCTTCCACCTGCTCTTCATCTCCCCACCTCACCCCCTCCCGTCCCCAGCTGTCCTGTGGGATGAGATGATGCTCTGACATGCTTGGCGTCTGTTCTTGGAGGGGCTGGTATTTTTGTGCCACAGCGGCGGGGGCAGGGACAGGAATAGTGGCGGAGTTGTAGTGTGTAGTGTGGGAGGGCCGGGATCGCTTTGAGAACTGCAAGATTTTTGAGCCGGTGTATAGACAGTAAGGGAGACCAGGGAGGATTGCGTAAGTTGGCTCCCTGGCTGCAAATTTAGCCTGGGCTCGCTCACGCAGAAATTTGATGAGCAGTGCAATCTCAGTCGTCAAAGCTGGAGTATTTAAAGACGTGTGTGTGTGTCGGCCCTGGGACGTAGGGTGTATTTATCCTGCGTGTTTATTCACAAGTCGTGAAGGTTGATATAATGAGAAGAGAAGAGCAACATGTACATCCACACTCTTCCTTCTGTTCCTCCTCCTGTTGTTGCTGCATGTTTCCTAAATGGCAAAGTGTTATTGACGGTGATAAGCAGGTGATTTATAGATGATGACATCTCACTGACACTAAGTCCAATTTTATAACATAAATTAACATAGACTGAAACTATGCACTGTAAATCAGGATTGGGCTCAAATTTTTACAATTCTATTGATCTATTAGTGATTTTTCTCAGGGCCTTGCATACTGATTAGCATCTCTGTAATTGCACCAGTATTCTCCAGAAGGCTGATTCTAACTGTTGTCTATTCACCACATGCTGAATTAGCCAATAAAGCATCTGAGAAATGCTATATATGCATAAAGATGTTAGGAATACGTTGATGGAGGAGATCATGAAGAGGTCTTGAAAGAAAAGATGAAATTCATAAATAAATAAAAACCTTCCATTGAACTTCTTTGAAAACATTCAGATGCAATTGAAACTTCACTTTAACAGTTGTTGAACATAGCTGACTTTAGGCAAGATCCCACAGTGTATGTTCGGTATTGATAGGAACATTTTGAATGTGCGTCACATTTCATTCAGTTTGATCTCAGATTCCTTTATACAACTGATGAATGTGTCAGAAGCACAACTCTTCATGTGTACGTCAAATCAAGTGTGATGTCTTTGTATAACTCAATCAGAAGTGTGTGTCATCGTTTAAGACTCTCAGCATGTCGTCAGACTGAGATGATCTCATTAGACATCAAGTTCAACGGAGTTTTCTTACAGTAGACCTTCGAGATGTGTCATTTCACATACACAGTTTTCACAAACTCAAACATCAAACTGCTGTCTATCGTCAGCGTTACTCAAATGTAGAAAAATGAAGATGCTGATGATGGCTTTTTAGCTTACAGTTTGACAGAGCTTTTTCAACATTACTCAGGTTATGATTAATAAGCATGGCTGTATGAATGTAGCGGCTGAAGTAAGTGATCAAATTCAACTGCTTTTATGAGTTGGAATATAAACTTTTAATGACAGATGAAAGAAAAATATTTCAGCAGTGGTGTAAGAAATAATTAGATTATTTACCCCTGTTGGGACGCAGACACTTCAGTGTCTAATGAGTAAGTAATAAGTAATAAGTGTCTTATTATTAGATCACTATCACTAAAGACTGTTTGTGTAAACTCTGCAGGAGGTCTGTCTGTGTGGTCTATGTAGCTTCAGAAAGTTTGTTGTGTATTTTCAGAGGTATAGAAAGCAGCTAGTGTAGAAGAGTGTAATTACTAGTAAAGTCATGTATTACATATTTTATAATGATAAGATGTACTTTATTAATCCCGCAAGCACTGTTATTGAGACATGCTACACACACAGAGTGAAATGCACAAACAGGATCCTATAGACATGCCCTGATGGAGAGTAATGGAGAGATGTCAGAGTGAGGGGGCAGGTGGAGGGGGTACGGTGCCTTGCTCAAAGAGCACCTCTGCAGTGCACAGGGAGTGGGACTTGAACCAGCAACCCTCCGGTTCCCAACCCAAGTTCCTACGGACTGAGCTACTGCCGCCCATTAATGAAAAATACCAAAAATATTAGGATCAATTCGTGCTGAAAGTCAACGTACAACAGAATGGTCCATTCTAGAGAAAT